AGGCTATGATCTGCCTACATTCATTTATACAATACAAGCACATCATATTCACCTCCATCCATCTCCAATCCATTCCTTCTCTCCACCGCCTTTTTGCTAGCTACCTATCATCCAGAAAAGTATCCAGATACACACATACACAGTACCTACCCTACAACATCCCCAGCTCAGATAAATCTCATCAGGCGCTGCTTATCTGTCTGCCTATCTCCATCTCATTGGCCCCCCCACCCGCCAATTTCATCATCTCATTCATTTCATTTCATCTCTATAATGTCTCATGCTGGAGTTGATCATACATCACCCACAACTTACAACTTACATCACATGTTTTCGCGCCCGGAGGATCGTCAAACAGGTGATAGCGTGTTATTTCGTTTCGTTTCGTATCCTATCGTATCCTATCATCTTGTTGAGTCATAGTTAGTGAGCCGCACTTAGCTTCGCTGAGTGAGAGTTGGATGACATGAATGATGGTGGATCTTGATTATTAGTGGTTGTGATGACATGCTGAGATTACGCCGCTTTCATCTTTCGTGCCTAGAACATTTGTGGGAGTTGGGAAATTCAAATTCTATAGGCTGGGGTGAGGGGAGGAGGATGCGAGGGGTAGGTGTGTGGAAGCATGGAATCGGCGGTAGGACTTGTCTTGGTGGGGTTAATACATAAGTAATAAGTATACTATGATTAGGTAGCTGGGCAGGTAGTAAAAATTACAACCCGAGGTGGCGGGTGAGGGGAGAGGAAGGCCTTGATGACACTCAGCTGGATAATGAGAATTAAGACCGATTGGTAGGGAAAAGTCAATCAATCTTTCTCGCCCATCTCGCGGTGTGTAAGATGGATGATGGGATCAAGTGATTAGAATTTCTCACTAGTTTTTGTGTATCGAGTGATCCTCCATTCTCTATGAACTTGATTTGATTTTGCCATCGAGAGATTTGTGTATATCGCGGGGGCAAATTCATGCAGAAAATTTGAAATTTGTGATGATGGTACTCCGGACTCCTTTTGGAGGAGAAATCGAGGATGTGGCGTTGATTTTTGATTTTTGATATTTCAAGCATGTGATTTGATGATGAATCGGATATTAACTCTATGGAGTCTTTGGAGTAGTGTGTATGTATTTGTTTGTCTTGATGAGTTGAGATGAGAGTAGGCATTTGTTTGTAAGATGCTTGGAGTGATTTCTTAGGCGAGGAGATGTTTGGGTTCCAAGGTTGTGGGGGGTTGATGGGGATGGGTTGTTTTGGATTCGGGACTGGATTTTGTCTATGATTATGAATATGACAATGATGATGAGTCTTGAGTTGGTGATGAATTGGGCTTTGGAGAGGAGGGCAAGGAATAGAGAATACAATATCTATCAAATCAAAACGTTTGGAATTCAGAACTTGTGAGATGAGATGAGATGAGATGGAATGGATTAGTTCTTTCGTACTCGATATCATTTGATGTAAACACATCGTCGCCCCCTAGAAAACTGCAAGATATTGTAGAATCACAATTATATACTAAAAAATCTCAGCGCGATTTGCAGGATGAATGAAATATATCCAAAAGATCACGTAAACCTCTTTCGTGGAAATCCTTCGAAAATCTGGGTTGATATAATGTGTATGTTTTATATACAAAATTCGAGACTCTAGGTTAAATCCCCATATCATAATACGAAGAGTTTGAATACCTATGAATGCTGAAAGGAAAATGAAGAAAATCGCGGTGTGGATGGATGGATAATTAGGGTTCTTCAGTGTGTTGGGTTGTGCTTGGGTTTCTTGAGGGTTTGGGGTTGTTTTGGGGTTCTGGTGGATGGGTGAGGAATGATGGATGATAGATTGTGGTTGATGATTGTGTGGTTGTTGGTTAATGATCAGTATTCAAATCAAAGGAGACTTGATCGTTGCGAGAGAATAGAGAGATAGAGAGATATAATGTAGTGGAGTATTTAAATGGCTATTCAGTTATTGGTAGTGCATTATGGTTGAGATACTTGAGGGAGTAAGTGAGGGGGCTTAGCGAGAAGTTGGAGAGTGGTGAGATATGAGATATGAAGCATGTAGGTAGGATGATTGATATGTGTGCTTGGGCTTTTTTGTATAGATTGAAGATTTTTTAGGGAGTAGTGATAGGAGAGAGTGGCGTGAAAGAAGGTAGGGAATACTATGATGATAGGGAGGGAGAGAGGTCTGGGGTTAGGGGATATGGATGTGCATATGCGTATGCGTATGCGTATGCGTATGAATAGGGGCTGTGAAAATGGAATGAGCAAATGAATTCTAGTTTGGAAATTAGATGGCAATGAAAGAAGAACTTGTCGATTGAATATTCAGCGTAAGTAAGTACTAGTAGACATGTAAACCTACAAAAAAGGAGTCAAGTGATAACGAACATTAATCTAATAACCATCATCTTAGAACAAAACCCTTTCATCAGCATCAGATTGTCTCTCATTTGCTTGCCCAAGATACAATATTTAGCACTCTATCTGAAGATATCTTGTAGTTCTAGACCAGCAGATCTATCAGTGTTTATCATTCTGAAAGCGTAGGGGTCTTGATGTTTGAACTCAGCCAAGAGTCGTAGTGAGGAGAATGGAAGGGGTTCAATAGTCGGGAACATGTGTACTCAGCACCCGGCTCGAGGAGATCGAACTCGTAGTGGCATGTCCTTGCTTGTAAGTTGGCATGAACCTTCTTCCAAATCGATTCGCTTGGTTGCTGGAGTTCATCAAAAGCTCTTAATTGGCTGATATTGCTAGTGATGTACGCTCCCTAAGATATTGGGAACTTGCTACGTGAAAATTCCACATTTAAATTCTTGTATAGACTAAATAGAAAAATCTCGGCAATAATAGAAGTTATTCCAGGAGCTGGTGGTACTCGCAGTGGAAGACCTTGAAATGAAATATTGAGGTTCGTGTGGATCTATTCATGACGCACCTGAGTGTGAATGACGTGTTCATGACTATCTCAGCCTATTGCACCTCAACTAATCGAGACATTATGACCTAACAGTCCAAAAGCTTCTCTGATGTATGTTACAAGCTTTAAGACTTCTCATAAGGCAAAAAGCTCAGACAACGACAGCGCACCAAGTTTTATACTTAGCTATTAGCTATTAGTAAGTCATCATAGCATCCAGTTTCATTGCGTTCTTAAAAAGTCTCGAGCGATGCAATAGTGCATACAACAAATTTATAGTAATCGATCCATATCTGGGGTGATATCTGGTCTGTATGAATGAATAGTTGTCTTTAGATGTCAGATAAAGGCTTTCGGGATGCTCATTGTAGTACTTCATATAGATTTTTCAATCCGAAATAATTTTTGAATCTTATATTCAAAATGTAATCTTTCAAATCTTTCAAGGATTTTGAAATATCATATAATCCAATAAGTCTTACTCTTTTATATAAAAAACATTTTGAATTGAAAAATCCATATGAAGTACTATAGTTCACTTCTAATAGGTTAAATTTTCACAAGGAAATCTGGCGTAGATAGAGATGATGGCGCAGTCTCCCAAGAGGCAGATTACTGAGACCTTCAAGTAAAGTGCAGTTGACATGCTCAAGCCTCATTCATTTATGGGTCGAATTCCAAAGATTAGATAGTTCACACAACAATCCATTCTGGATGATAGATGATATTGATGAGCTAATCCTCGCCCCAGCTAACTATCCAAACACAAATTATTGTAGAAGAAATAGGACCAGAATCGTAAACAATGGTAAAAAGCAGACGCCTGGCCTTGAAAAGTACGATACTTTCGCGCTATCCGTACCATGGAACAAGTGAATACTGATGACGAAGATGTAGAACAACTTTTCCATGGCTCTATCAATCCAGTATAATCTAAATGGAGCAATAGAGAAATAAGAAGAAAATCGTGTTCAGAAAGAAGCAGCAAGGCCATGAGTAGATAATTAGCCCGGACCTAGAATCGATTGTAACTGAACTGCACGTCCGGCCAACGCTTGAAGCGAGAGGACTCAATTCTTTTCCTCGGTTGAACCAAAACGCAGCTTGCTTGACCATCCAATCCTCCAAGGTATCTTAATTTCGAGTCCGTGGGCTCTCAAGTATACAGACAAGAAAGTGGTTGCTGTACGTTGTGAGTGTATTGACGCCGCTACATGATCATGTGCAAGGGGCCTTCAGTACAAATACAAGTACTGTATATAATCTCTTTCGTGAACTACGATGCTATTTCAAGCAATAACAACGCCAGCAAGACCTATCCCAGGCACATTCTGAGTCGCCAAATAACGCTGACTGTCCATCTACAATCATAGAGCAACGTAGCCAAGACATTTCATATGTAAGTTCAACTTGGGATACTTCGTACCACAAATGCGACCACTAATTGCGTACGAAACTTCATTGCCGACAAAAATTGAACGTCCTGGTACTTGACTTAGCGATTGAGGATGTGGAGCTGTATGATACGGCTCTGGATACCTTCCACGGAAAAATACTCAGAAGACATAAACGATCAGACAGAGAAATGCCAGGAAGCTACGATTGATAGGTGGTAACTTTTATTGATTTTCTCGGGTTCATTTGCTCAATTTCCTTCATGTTGTATGAACGTTATTCCATCTGATTTGCAAAATCTCACCCAGACACTGATTATCCTCTTCTTTTGCCCATTTCTCTTCGTAACATGTCATTCAGACCTCCGTGTCTTGAAGTGTCCACTTTTCTTGTTGTGAACGAGCCTTTTTGCCATATACATTTCCTTGAATGCGGATGTGTGACTGTAAATTGAACATGAATTTTCTCATATATATTCCGACACGTCAGTAGCGAGAAAGGCATCCGGTGGAACACTGTTCCTAATCTATCAACAATCTTAGGAATTTTCCTCTCTCGGTTCTGATGATTGCCTTTGAGTGATCATCTGGAGAGTCTTTTGAAGATGTCAAATTGCATTTCGGGGGGTATCATTCAACTCGTAAATCGTACATATGTTCTCTCCGCACTTGACAATGCAACTCAAGCATATTCTTCGTCCTCCACTTCCTCCATCTCTACAGTCATTTGACCACCTTCTTCAGTTTCTTTCCTTTGCCCACCACTGCCAGCAATATAACCTTCTTTTTCTAATTTTTCCATCTCTTCCGGTTCCATCAAGCCACCTTCTCCCTTTCCCTTTTGCATTTTCATCCTCACAGCCGCGGGAACAAAAGCCACAGCTTCCTTCCGTAAATCTCGTATTTGTGGCTTCGCTTCATATACTGTCTTGACTTCCTGCTGTACTTTCACACCAGTTCCAGCATCCCGATTACCAAATTCCCCGCGATCCTTTCCTCCCAATGGCATAGAATTCGCGCTTGTGCCTCCACTCTTCTCGCCGTTTTGATTTTGATTCTGTGCCTGATACCGCGCCCGTCGCGCCGCGTACCATTTATCCAGTACTTCTTTGGGGAACGGAGGTGGTGTATCCCTCGGCATGGGTATTCTCTTAACCTCTTCGTCAACATCCGACCCACTACTCTCTTCATCCATGTCCCCATCTCTTCTTCGTTTGCCCAAAACACCGCTCCCGCCTCGTCCCCCAAACCCTCCTCTTCCTCCCCTGTCTCCACCAAACCCACCCCTCGACTGCGAAAACTGAGGTGCTGCATCGCCTAAAGATTCGCGCGCTTTGTTTACAGCCTTGATCTCCTTCTCTAATCCTTCTACCAGTGATCGTTCATGACTTGTGAGTTTCCCACCAGAACTTTCTATCTTCTTGAGGTCGTCGAGTTGGGATTGTAGACGTTGTGGATTTTTCTTGGCCAGTCGTTCATTCTTCTGAGCTTGTAAAGATGCCTTGCCTGAGGATAAGTCAGTATTATGCTCGAGTTAAATAACATTGTCGGAGAATTGGATGATTGATTGCGTACTTTTTTTGATAGCTTTTGCCTTTTCAGCTTTGCGCTGGGCTTGTGCGGGATTGACAGACTTTTCTTTGGGCATTGCGGTTATGGTGAAATACAGAAAACTGAAGAAACCGAAATAAACTATAAGAAATGGTTGAAATGGGGTTGAGAATTGCGCGGAGAATTTGTGGTCTTAAAGATCTGGGGAGTCGTTGATATTGCGAACCAACATTCTGCCAAAAGGCGGTGAAGTTGCACAATTTCAACTTCCAGTTACATGTCAGAGACAACCACATCTCATAGCGCAAAAGGGAGCAAAGCTTTCAGAACTGAATTGATAATCAAGCTTGTCACTGTTAGTTGAGTTTCATTTCCAGCGTGTTGTTAAGTTCACCAGATTCATGTAATTTATTGGAGTGGCTAGCATGCTGTTAACATCATTGGTTCAGATGGACAATCGTCTTGAAAATAATTAGTTTCCCTGGGTAGGTAGTTACAGAAGTTGAAACTAAAAGATGGCATAAGTCAATAATTGCACTTCGTTTAGCCATTCGCATTATTCCTGTGATTGAGAGCTTCTCATGTAGATATATATTTTGGTCTCAAAGTATTTATAAGTTATCGTTTGTGCTCAAATTCATGAAGTCCTGCAGTCAGATATCACCTCCGCCAGGTCCTTGCTATCCATATCTGAGTTGCTAGTTATCAAGACCTGGGTTGATAAAACATGTTGACAAAACACAACTTTTGAGACTCAAGGTCAAAATCCGTCATGCGCAAGCATGATACACCTCCGACTGATTTCTGGACAGCATCCTTCACCTCTTTCAATCTGAGAGATCTAGAAATATTTATGTAAGCCTCCATCAACTTGCCAGTCCAGACCATCTTCCGTATTTCTCTTGGCCCGGTCCAATTATTCCACTGCCGAAACCAAAAGTGCCTTGGACAATCGCGATCGCCATTCAGCTTCCAGACAACTAAGCCTCGGTAGCAAGTGATCGTTTTCGACAGGAGAGTATTCCATATCATCCATGAACCATTTGCTTAATCTAGACAAGAAGTCTTTTTCTCTAGATTTCACCACACCTCCATAGCATCCCGAAATAGAGACTTCTTCGAGGCCTCGGAAGTAAATAAATCTCCCATCCTATTTTTGACTAAGAAATCAAAGAGTCTCGTCCGACGTACGGAGTCGTTTGATTCGACAACGATCTTCGTGGTAAAGCATATGACGGCACGGGTAGGAATCTCGGAAGGATATCCAATCTAGGTCAACAGTGTCAAGTTCGTAGTTGAAGTAAATCTTCTATTGGACTTTGTTACGAGTGCCAAAACCTATTTCATAGCTTTGAAAAGCTTCGGCTTGAGTTTCGTGCGAAACGAGGAGTAATGAGAGGATGCCCTTTGAGACACAGGATTCTTTGGCATAGTTGTATCGGACTCCTACAACTCGGGGAGATATTGCAAGACTCCAGACAACTAAGCGAAGCTCGATAGGAAGATCCGAGAAGGGAGTGCGCGATTTGGAGGGTTACGACATAGAAACGGTAAATTTTGAGTGTCCTAAAGGTTTAATTTTTCATTGCGTATTTGTAAAATTAGATATATGTATTGTAGATATCTTTCGATCCGAAAACGGCAGCCTAAAATATGGGTTGAACGAAACGGCGTTGTAGGGTCTCTCGCCTGTACCTTAATCAGCCTCACACTAAATTATCTTCTCAAGGTAAATAAGTACTAGAAGATAATATCAGCACGAATAGAATAATAGAGCAGCAGCCGGATGCCAGCATCGGGCGCGCGTTGACATTTGGCTTGATGCTGCATCGATATTCAGCCAATCACAACGCGTATACTCTGTGGTTGAGCTAGCTCACTGCATATAGTATTATAGACTGCGGGAGCGACTGAAATGGCGACACGCTAAAGAGACTAAACTAAATCAAGTATTATTCGATTGCCCTTTACAAAAAAACTAGGCTGCAAGATATGAGCATTTGAATGCTTGTTCTCGAAAAGAAGCTCCTCATTTTAGCCACAGGTCTTGCTACCATTAACTATATCTGCAAGCCGTACGAGTTTGTAGGCACCTCATTTGGTGATAAAACAAAGGCTTATCGTTTCTCCCGCTCTCTCGCTCATGCCGTCAAAACTCCGACGATAATACGCCGAAACGAAGCAAGGTTATTCTGATTTATGGCTGGCTACTCGTTGAAAAAGCGAAATCTCGTTAGGGAATGGATCGAGTAGGATTCCGAGTAGTCGTAGCTTGTGATTGTTTGATACTCATATTCAACCACAGCTATGAATTATATTGTAAGCAATGTTGTGATACTTGGGGATTTCGAATCTTCAAGCAGAATACTACAATACCATCCACGAGGCTGCAATGATAATAAACTTGAAATGTGATTGATGTAAGCAAAAAAGAGGCAAGCAAGACGCATGTTGATCCACTGAACTTGTAGAACCAAAGCCGCAGAGTGGATTTGAAATCAGAAGGAGGTATCTAGAATGAAACTTTCATATGATTACCACAAAAATATAGACAGACTTTGGGGGTCGTTGGTCTAGATGAAGTAAAGAATGCAACGGGACGAAATGATGCAAGGTCGTTTTAGCCACTATTGAGGTGCACATTGATCAGCCGCTAGACTCCAATCACATGACTTCGCTAGTAATTTTGGTATTGCATTACTAGACCCACACATATTTTTGAGAACGATGACATGACAAGAATCTGATCGAATCACGAAGCGAGCTGTACAGACTGGCATCACAGCAAGTCGAGTAACCGCTGATCAATCACTTCACCAATAGAATACGAATATAAAATATCAATGAACCTGTTCATTGGAGTGATAAGGTGCATAAATATGCAGTGCCATCTTCATAAGTGTGCGTAAGGCACAGCCACACGTGGCAAGGCAAACGGAGCCATCAAATCTCTATCATAACGTTAAGGTTCAAGGAGAAAAGCAAACACTCAGGAGTGATACTGGGTCGACGAACTGAGATTTATGAGATCAACGTTTACTTCGAGTGGCTAACGTTTCTGAGTTTGCTGGGAATTTTTCACAGGCGATCAGCATCTCTTATCTTCAACATGAACCCCTCCAAGAGCCTGCATGTGGACGAGCTTATCGCCAAACTTCAGAAGTATGGCCTTGAACGCGAAGAATCACTACCACATCTCATTATATCCGGTGATCTCTCTGATATTGGAGGTTCCGGACCAAAAGATTGGAAACTCCGTACCCCATTCTCAACAGAAATCGTTCTCCGACAAAGTGAAATCAGCTCTCTCACAGTAAGATTGATCCCTGACTTTTCGCGGCCTGCTTCACAAAAATCCGACATCAAGTCTTTCCAAAAGTCTCTCGCCCATATTGGTGAGCTTCGAAATGCCGTGCAATTGGCTAGTGCGAAAGTCTATATGTTTCTCGATGCCAAAGATCTACCAGACAAAACACCATGGAAAGATGTTTTGCGGATTGAAATCGAAGGGCCATTACAACCAAATCTTACTTTACTCGATATCCCCAGTCTCCTTGTGAATATCTCCAAGGTAGAAACCGGCTATGAAGAAGATAACGCCGCTTCTATTGCCGAAACAACATCTTTCACGGCTGGCTCCAATACGCCCACCCACACAATCATGACCGAAGATTTCCTCTCTCGTCCTCGCTCGCTCTCCCGCGACACAGTTCCTCACGCTGGAAAGACATTCATGATTCGAGATCGCAATCATGGTGGGGTAATTACACTCAAAGAGGGAACTCTCCAAATATCTCCCAATGTCCCTCGAGCCGGAGGGTGTCATTGGACATGCATAGAGCGCGATGGATGGTTTGGCTTCCGCAACTGCGTTTCCGGACAATTCTTTGGTCATGATAACAAGGGGAAATTTTATTGCAAGGTTGCTCACCATCGGAACCATGAATGGTTCTGTACGAGAGCTCATCCATCCGGTGGACATCTCTTGTTAATGTTGCATGGGGATAAGTTTCGCCAGATGAAAATTGGGAATGATGAGACGGAGTTGGTGGAGACGGATGGGGAGGGGACTGCGTGGGATTTCATTGAAGTTTAGATACTTTCATGGTGTCGGTTGTTGGTTATGGATATCCTCTTGGGCAATCAATTTCCAAATTCGATGTTCGGCCTTTGGTTGTGATGATCTAGAACATTTTGGGAGATTTATGTTGAGTGTGATTTGGACAACCGGATCCCGATGCATATCTACATTTGCCGGATACATCGGCTGCCGCTTAAGCGGACTTTAATATGGCTCAGGTGAATTAGCCCAAGAAGATTGATGAGCTCTTTAATTGAGTGAAAAGTGTTATTGCGGGGATGGATAGGAGCGTTAAGAACCACGATATAAATCTATTCCATACGCTTTTGCACAGTGCAATAACACGAATATCTTTCTACGGCTTTTTACTTGCTCGCTTGCTGATGTGATGTTTTGGATATTTTATGCTTTGTATCTGTCTATCTAATATGAACCACAACGAACCGAAGAAAGCGAAGTGAAGATGATGTGTAGACAATTGAGTTTATGAATGCTATACTGAGGTTAACGCCTCATAGATATGTTTGTCATTGAAATCTTGCTCTAACAACGGAATCGACTCGAAATCTATTGCTTACGATTCGTACAGGGAGTAAAAGTAGGTATATCATATACTCTCATCATCCAGAACAAAACACTCATCATCATAATACTACGATCCTACACTCAAGCATCAAGCGCTCTCCCACCTCGCCAATCTCCCCACCGTCTCCCCCGCATTCCTCACCACACACAAACACCCCTCCCGCAATCCCCTACTCCTCGTCTCCTTAACCATCTCCCTCGCAAACACAGTTCCAAACGCGACGCCTTTACCCTCCGCCAAATTATATTCGCCAGTAGTAACGAACCCAACGAGATCTTCCTCCCCAGGAACCATAGGATGATTCTCTGAATCATTTTTCTCTCTTGGATACTGTAATGGTGGGTTTTGCAGCAGAGATTTTGCAAGAAGTTGCACACGTTGGGGGAGTGGTGTGTTGAATGGTATTTTGCCGATGTTTTTAAGATCTTTG